TTCCAAGAATGTCCTGTCCTTTCTTAGTTCTCCAGGCTGCACAGCCTCTCTCTGTCTCTTTCCTTCCCTTATAAACTTCAAATAATGGGATCTCAGCCAGGGTGAGTGCAAGGCTTAAGTGAATCAACAGCCGTGGAGGGCCTTTCCAAAGGCGAAAGGGCTATGCTGGGGAAGGTGTTATTAGCATCGAGTTGGGGAACCTAGCCACATAGTAAATATTTCCATAGACGAAAAATCAACAGATGCCGAGGGAACCTAACTGAGGTGCTGTTTACAGCAACCTTTCCAAAGAATAGAAGCCTCCTTGGCCTGTGTTTTCCTCTCTCTAATCGTGAACATTTGATGGTGTTTATCAGTGGGCATCCAAATCCTACACTGATGTAATGTCAGACACCAAGCATAAAGCTTTGCCCCTTGCCCCTACCTGCCTCCTTACCTGAAATACTTGCTTTCTAAAACAATTTTACAGTAACTGCTGGACTATGACAAGAAGTGTTTTTGCAAATAAATACATTTCCTAATTAAAACTTGCCCTTTAAAGACGCACATTTTCTTGGCCCCATTATAGGTTTTCTTTTCCTTGTAACATATCACAGAATCAATAAGGGCAATGCAAACATCTTTAATATATGCAGTTTCAACAGCTCTAATAACATATCTGGCTGCCTAAGACACCTTCTCCCCCTCTCTAGCCCAGCTAATAATTTGCCCTGATTTGTTAAATGCTCTCTTATTTTATTCTTAAAGATAAAGCTTAAAAGGCAGTTAGTCTGCCAGGCTAGTGGGAAGGGTGGATTGCAAAGGAATGAAGTGGAAGAGGCAGTGGGGGGTAGGGTGGGGGGTGGTCCCAGAGTTTTCTGTTTTGTTAATGACAGCTTATTTTTTGTTATGACAGTAATGAATGTTCATTGTGGAAAAGCTAGAAAGTTTCAAAAAAGCATAAAGAAGAAAATGTATTACTCATAATCCTATCACCCAGAGGCAACCATTGTTAATATCTGGCATGATTTCGTTTCAGGTTTTTCTCCCCAGTGATTTTTATGTAGTTAACAGTTTTGAAGTCTGCTTCTTAAGATATTTACATGTTAACACTGGCATGTTCCCATGGCATGAAGAACTCTGCAAAAGAGAAAAACTTTAGAGTGGCTTCATAATATTCCAACTAGGCTGTCCTCCAATTTACTTATCCTAGTTGACCTTTTAGGCTATTTAATTTTTTCCCTTTATTACAAATAATGTGCTACCACCACTGGTTTTTTGTTTTTCTGAGTACTAGATGGGGTTGGCCATTCAGAGAGTGTTCGGTTGAATTCTACAGCAGTGTTTCCTATGGCACAGAGCAGCCATATAGGAAAATCTCAAGCTAGCTGTAGAGTTAGATTGCAACATGGTAAAAACTGACGTTACTTTCTCCCCTAAAACCTCCACTTCCTCCTGAATACTCTGGACATCAAAGTGACCAAAGTCACCTTCTACCCAGGTTCCCAAGCTTGAGAATTAGGAGTCACTTTGGATTTCACCTTCCCAGCCCATCCACCAAAATCTGTCCATTTCATACCCTTCATGTCTCTCCAAGTATCTCCTCCCTTCTTCAGCCTCACTGCAATTGCCTTAAATGACCTAAAGGAGACTCCCTGGTCTTCTCAGGTCACTCCCTTTAACTGATTTCTCTACAGTGCTATTAACATCACCTTTTTCAAGTACACTTAAGATCACCTACCTCCTTTAACTAAAAGCCTCTAATAACTCCTTACTACCCATCCACCCAGCTCCTGAGCTTTCAGGATGTTTGAGATTCTCAGCTTCCTTGAGGCCCCTTCAAGAATCAATCCTAACTACTGTGCTAGACTTTACCCCAGGCACTCCCTTCATATGCCAGCTCCATGGGCTGAGAGTGCCTCTTGTTTTTGTTCATTTCCTCTTACTGTTACCTTTACCTAAAAAACAACACCCTCAAACGCATTCCTTTCTATGGCTGAGTAATATTCCATTGTGTGTATGTATATATGGAATCTAGAGAGATGGTACTGAAGAATTTATTTACAGGACAGCAGTGGAGAAACAGACATAGAGAATAGACTTATGGACACAGTGAGAGGGGAGGAGAGGGTGAGATGTATGGAAAGAGTAACATGGAAATTTACATTACCATATGTAAAATAGAGAGCCAACGGGAATTTGCTGTATGGCTCAGGAAACTCAAACAGGGACTTTGTATCAACCTAGAGGGGTGGGAGATGGGAGGGAGGTTCAAAAGGGAGTGGATAAATGTATACCTATGGCTGATTCATGTTGAGGTTTGACAGAAAACAACAACATTTTGTAAAGCAAGTATCCTTCAATTAAAAAATAAATTAAAAAAAAACCTCTCCATGTGATCTAGCAAACTGTTTGCCTTCAAAACTCAGCTTGAATGCTGCCTCCTACAGGAAGCCTTCCTTTTCCATGCAAAGATTCAGTTGGCCAGAGGTTCTGTGCTCACACTGCCCATTTCTTAGCAGAAGCAGACCAAACTGTGCTTCTCCTTGAAGGTGGGGATTGGGCTTTGTTCGTCTTCTTTAACCACTAAATATTTCAGTTATGTGTTTCCTTAAAACAATGATAGTCTCCTATATAACCACAGTAATTATCAAAATTGGGAAATTAACATTGATATAAACTATTATCTAATCTATTGACCTTATTTTAATTTTACCAGCTGTCCCAATCTGGGACCACATGTTTCATTTATTGTCACAACAACTAAACTGGTCCTTGAATCTAGAACTGTTCTGGAGCCTTTGTCTTCTAAGACTTTGGTATTTTTGAAGAGTTCATGACAGTTATTTCCCTGAACGGCTCTCAGCTTACGTTTGTCTGATGTATTGTCACGATTCGACTCAGTTACTCATTTTTGGCAGAAGCTCCACAGAAAAGATGTGCTGTCCCTCTCGACGTATCACATCTTGGGGCATATGATGCCTATTTGCTGTATTCCTGATGATGATGATGTAGTAATTGCTTGATTAAGGGGGAGTTGGCCATGTTTTTCAATTGTAATGTTTTCCCTTTGAAATTAATCAAAGATACTTTGAAACTATGCAAAATATCTTGTGTCTCATCTACTGCACTGCACACCCACAAAGGCAAGGTCTGCTCGCCTCATCGCTGGGTGCACAGAGGCAGAGTGCCAACCGCAGAGTAGGTGGTCAACATATATTTGTCAAAGGACTGAATCTGACTGCCAATCACAGCTTAGCCTCGGCATATGATATCTGTGGTGAGGACACACAGTTGATAAATATAATTCAAAGGCGAAGACCCGACATTTCAGTTTTTGTCATTCACAGGCTTTGTCTCGGGTCAGTGTTCAGTGATCATGAACATTTAAAACATAGATTGGACACAGTGTATGGAAATCTCTCACCTACTCCTACCTTCACCCCTCCTGTTAGGAGATGTTGAAGGGCATGCCAGCTCCCCAAGTTTGTACTGTAATCCCTGTGATGCCTTTGCAATCGACGGGTGGCAACTGACTAGTTCGTCTCCTGATCACACAATCGAGATTTTAAAATACCCTCGACCTTCTTTCACATTTATATGATGTTAGTATTGTCACACTTTCTCCATTATGCACTGGAGATCATGGCAATATAATGTAGCGGGAGATCATGAAGGGAGTTTTAAAAGGGGGTGAGAGGGAAGGAAAACTAACATTAGTTGACATCTCCTGTATGTCCAGAGCTTCCCCCTCCCGTTCTCACTTTTATTCTTCACCACAACTGGTGAGGTAGGGGGTAATTATCCTTTTCACAGGTGAGGAAACTGAGGCTAGATAAAGAGTAATGGCCTGCCCTAGTCGTACAGCTAGCATGCAGCGGGCTGAGCTGAGACTCTCTGGTTTCTCCCCTAAGCCCCAGTAAGTTGCCACTGCACCAAGCTGCCTCTCCCATCATAGAAAAATGTCCTTCTCTTGGAAACATGCTGGCGATCACGATCTGGACACGCGAAGGACAGGAATCTCTTGGACGAGTCATTGGACTTAGTTTTTAAATGATTGTTATCACGACTCAGTGGCTGTTACCATGGTTTTGGGGAAGTTGTCCGAGGAAGGAGGGCCTTTCCCTGGGCATCTTGCATGCCTGAGGAAGGAACTCTAGTTCTCAGCTCTTAATTACCTCTGGCTGCGCTGCAGCAGCAAGGGCGAGAGAGACCGTCCCTGGAAAAGTGTTGGGGGCGTTGAAATAACAAACGAGGAGTCGGCTGGGGGCGCGGGGGGGAGCTCACGCGCTCCCAGAGAGACCCCGAGACAGGCGATGGGGGGAGGGAGAGGCGATCAGACAACACTGCAGGGAGACGCGGCCGAAAGCCAAACCGGGAGGAAAGAGAACAAAAGACGCAAGGAGAGGAAGTCAGGAAAAGTCGGGGATAAGGGAGGAGAAAGTTTGAGAAAAGGGGCGAGAAAGCAAGCAAGGACAGGCTAAGACTAGGGGAGACCGAGAAAGACGGGGAACTGAGAGAACTCGGAGAATTCGAGAAGGAGGAGGAAATAGGAAGAAGACGGAGATAGAAGCGGAGGGAAAGGAGGGAAGGGGAGAGGGGAGGACGTCGGAGAGAACAGAGGGACCAGGCCGACCGGGAGGCGGGTGAGGGGTCCCGGGAGGACGCGCGCGCATCACCTGCGTGGCGCCCCCAGCGCGCTGCGCTGCGGCCCGGCTGCCAGCGCCCGGGCGCCGCGGCTCGCCCAGCCTCGGGGAGGATTAGCTCCCGCCTCCCATTCATGTAGCCTGCGTGTGTGCGTGTGTGTGTGTCTGTGTGTCCCTCGCTCGCCCTCTCTGTGTGTAAGAGAGCGAGGGTGGGGGACGGAGGCAGGCAGGCGAGCAGGCGGGGAGGGGAAGACGAGGAGGGAAGCTATTAAACACACACACACACACTCACACACACGCGCGCGCGCGCGCGCACACCCCCGCCCCAACACCCCGCCGTCCGCCCCCCCAAAGCCTCGGGATTGCAGCTGTTTCATGTGGGCCAGCAGTGCTGGCAGGGACGCCGGCCGGGAGCGGCCGGGAGCGGCGGCCGGGCGTGCGCGCGCGGCTGGAGACTCGCTGGGGCTCCGCTCCCTGCGGGAGCTATTGTTGGTCTCGCCGGAGCTGAGCGCGGAGCCGGGACCTGCTCCTTCCTGGGCGCTCGCCTGCTCGGGCACGCGGAGCCCCGTCGCCTAGACCGAGAGGAGCCACCGGCGCAGCGCCTCGCCTCTCTGCCGCCCTCCTCCTCGCTTCCCCGGCGGCGGCAGCCTGCAGCCACGGTAAGGCGGCGCGATCCGCTCTACGGAAAAGCGCCTTTGGGGACATCGCGGCGGAGCCTCGCCCGCTCTCTCTCTCTTCTCTCGGCGCTCGTTAGCCGGGGAAGGGTCGGGGCAGCTCGCTCGGATGCCCAGGGCTCCCGGAGACGCTCGCTCGCTTCCCCAGCCCGCAGCGGGGGAGGCAGCGAGGACGACTGGGGCTTCCGGGGAGGTGAGTGGGTCTGGAGCCCGAAGCCTCCGCCGCGCAGCCCCCCGGAACCTCGCCGCAGACTGGAGCCTGGGAGCCAAGGCTAGGGGAGAGCCGCGAGGTTGGGAGCGTGCCGGGGCTCGTCGGCCTTGCCCGGGTCCCCTTCCCCGCCCCGGCCCCAGAGTCTGCAGCCCCTTTGCGGACCCGACCGCCACAGGGCCCGGCGGGCGCTGGAGGAGCCCGCGAGGCGGCGCCGGGCTCCCAGGCTGCAGCCTGCCCTGTCGGGCTAGCTGCAGCTGCGGCGGCCCCGCGCGCCCTGCGGTTGGAACGGAGAACCAGGAGACGCGACCCCAGCCCCGTGCCCTCTGCAGCCGGCGCGGCGCCCCTCTCTCCTAGCCCGCCGCCCTGCCGCGGTGTTCATGTTCCCCTCGGAGTGAGTTGAGGCTGCAGCCCCTGGGTGGACACTCGGAGCGCTCCTCTGTGTGTGTGTGTGTGTGTGTGTGTGTGTGTGTGTGAGAGTGAGAGAGAGAGAGAGAGAGAGAGATGGCACCCCAGCTTCGGGGAAATGTGCTCTGGGATGAAATGTGATCACCGAGCTCCTTAGTCATTTTCCTCGCGGTTTAAAAATGCAGTCTATATTAGGAGCACTCGGGAAGGGGAAGGTGGTCTCGAGGAGTGTGTCTGTGTACAGGCAACCAGGGAATACAGTCAACTACTGGGGTGAGGGTAGGTTCAACTGGTGAATCCTCCTTGGCGGGGCAGTAGGGTGGGTTTTGCTGGCCGCTGCCCGCCCTTCTCTGCCCTGCCTCCGCCTAGGCGAGGTTGGAAAGTACTGGAAATTCAACTGCGTGGTCTGTAACTTTGGAAACTGGCTCCCCTTTCAGGGCGAGACGTTAAGGCGGTTTGTATACATTGCGGTCCATGTGGACGAGGATTTGGGTTACGGAGTTTTCTTTAGAACGGCAGCAGTCCCCTGCTCGGTCCCTTATCCCCTCCAACCACCAGCCCCGGCGAGAAGGTTTGTAGAGACGCAGCTATCTGTAAGCCACCCATGCGGCGAAAGCGGCTCCGGGGGGCAGCCGGGGGGCAGCCGGGGTTTTGCCGAGTCCTGCTCGCACTCTTGGTATTTGACTAGCCCAGGAGAGCGCCCTACCGCTTGCGGAAGGCGGTGGCGAGGGACGCTCGGTGTTTGAGCGCGGGGCTGAGACGGTGTCCATGTGCTGAGCGGTGCGGCCGCGCGCGCCGGGAGATCAGCCGAACGGCATCGCGGGCAATTACATAAACTGCCTCAGTGATTACCCGGAACCTTGATGGGAGCCCCAGCTTGGCGAAGGACAAGCCCGAAAGTTTGCTGGCTTGAGGAATGTAAGTACCGGGTGCTCCCACCCCAGGACCAGAGAGGAGAAAGACGCCCCGCATCACGGCGCCCACCCCCGCGATGGGCGTTGGGTGCTGATGCCACTGTCCCCCCAAAGAACCGCAGATCAGGGGCCGGGAAAGAATCTGGGATTGATGAGAGACAGAAAGCCTGTCAGAACTCAGGGTCCTTTGAGTTCGCAGGGGGCCAAGCTTCCACCTTGCGGGGTGAGGGAGGCCTTCCAAGGAATGCTGTATTAGGAAACGGGCGTTGTGTTCTAGGGGACCCCACAGGCCCTCTTCTTTGCTTCTCCGAGCGCCTCCTCCCCATCTTCCACACGCAGTGCCCTTCATGTGTTTAGAAACCTGCCCGCGATGCCTGGTCCACCCTCGGAGAGGCCAAGCATCCGGCAATGCAGGCCCACTCCGGCGCGGGCTTGGAGGGAGAGTGAGTCCGCCAGCACCAGGTACCTACTCCTGGCTTCCCAGGCCGCGCCGGCGCGGGTCCCGTGGGTGCCGAGTGCGGCTCCCCTCCCGCCTGGGTTCTCTGCCTCGCGGACGGCAGTTTGCTTCTGTTGTGTTTCTTCTCCGCATCTCGCTGCTTCCCTTTGCCGCCTGCAGCACGTTGATGGGCTTTGATAGATAAACCACAGTAGTAGAGTGGTTTTGGGTTTTTTTTTTAATCTTGTTTTTCGCCTGTAGAGGGATTAGGCAGCCAGACCTGGCAGTGCCCTGCAGATCGCTGAAGTCTGGGGCACAGCAGCTCTGAGCCACCTCCTCGCTCAGTCGTGGGGGTGGCGGCGTGCACGGATGGGGAATGTTTTGTTTTCCCCACATTCCAGCGTCCAGAAACCCGGCATTCCCTCCCCCGCGGTCCCCACCCCGCCGAAATCCCGGGTCTTGTCTGAGTGTGTTCCGCGCTGTAAAATAAATCCTCCCTCTCTCAGACCTGTGGGGCTGTTCGGATTTCCTGCCGCTGCCATGATCCTTAACAATGCGATTGCAAAGCTCGTGCTCGGCTGGGAAAAATCCCCAGGTGCCGGCCGGCCTCGCCTCGACCTTGCTGAAGGCGCCTTTAACCTGGCTGCCGGCGGGAACCGGGCCGGGCCCGCGGGGGGCTGGGGAGGGGCGGGGTGTGCCCGGGAGGTGCTAGCTTCAGCCCCGGGGCAGGGTCGCCGCTGGGCCGCCGCAGGGAGGGGACGGGGCTCCGCAGCAACCTGTTTCCCTGCGCTCAGGGGCCACGCATTCCTGCCCCTCGCCTCGGCGCTGGCTCCGAGTTACCCTCCTCCCCGCCCACCTCTGGCCACCTCCAGGGGTCCACGGTGGGAGGCAAGGATCGAGACCCGATCGCGCTCCCCGCCCCCCGGCGTCTGCCCGTGGTCCCGGCCTGGGGCTCCTGGGCCAACAGAGCCGCAGTCCGCGGGAGCTGGGCCGCTGGGTGGGCGGGGCCGGGGTGGGAAACCCGAGCCGAGATCTCCGCGTTCCCGGCCAAGTTGCCGCCCCCGGCGCGGCGAGGAGTCCGCGCTGCGCATCTCTCCCCTCTCCCCTCCCTGCCCTCCGTCCTCACAACCCCCGGCGCGCTCCGGGCGCCCTGCCGCTCAGCTTCGCCGGGAGCTCTCTTCGCCAAAGTTACGAGATGTTTTCACAGGTGGTGGCGGTGGAAGCAAGTTTTGTATGTGTGTGTGTGTGTGTGTGCGCGTGCGTGTGTGTGTATTCGTGCGCAGGCGCTTGGGAGGGGAGTTGCGCTTGGGAGGGGAGGTACGCGGGAGGCCAGTCATCTCGCAAAAACCAGATTCCTTTCTTTGTGGGCGTTATAAGGGGACGTTGAGACAGAATCCGTTTTCCCTGGTGACGGAGAGAATGGGAAGTCCTTGGATCTGGTGGACCTGGACCAGTTGGAGCAGATTGCCCGAGGTGATCGTGTGTCTCCTCTCCACTGCGGTGCTTTGCGAATGTTTGAAGGTTTAGCCGTCCCCATGCTCCTCTGGACTTAGGACATAGACGTTCACATAGTTTTAGGGGACTAATTCAGGGAAGGTTTGATTCCTACCACGTGTCTTTCAGTGCGTGGGGGTTGGTGTGCGAATTCGTCAAGTCTGTGTTGGGGAAGTTGTCAGGGGTGGAAAGGTTTTCCAGAGAAACTCTTGGATTCATCTGTCAACCTCATCAAGCCCTCTCTTGAGGGGGGTAGGGTGGGGGGGGTGGACTGCGGGCAGTAGGCCAATGAACCATCCTAACGGACCGTGGGGAGAAAAGGGTTAGCCTTGCTCAGTGCGGGGCGCCAGAGGGCAGAACCAGGGCTCAACCCTAAAAAGAACGCTCAGAAGACAGTTCTGCAAGCGAATGGAATGACCTGGAATGTGAGGTAGTGAGCTCTGTAGGAACACTTGTTTCCTTTGAAGTCTGGGTGTTGTAGGAGTGGGTAGATCTGACTCTAGGTGGTAGGATCTCCTCCGTGGTTTTATGGCGGTAAATCGAGAGGATGTGACTTTAACCCCTTAATTTCCTGGACAGGAGTCATGACTCTATGGCCTTAGGCAAGTTACCTTTGAAGCTCCAGCCCACTTGCCTGTAAAATGGGAAGATACTGTCTAGTTTCCAGCGTTGTAAGGATTGCGGTCCATAGAGCCTCTGACATCCTGCAAGCCATTCACAGATGGTCATTCCCTCCCACCTCCTTCATCCCTTTAGCACGCGGTGCTTTGAGGTGGGGGATGGGCAGGGAAATCAACAACTCCAGAAGAACCAGCAATATTGCTTCCACAGTCTATTTAAAACCAACTCAAATGCTTGAAACAAAAATATCTTCTCTTTTCTTCAAAAAGTCATTTCCAGTTTTGTTAGAATTTCTCCCTCATTGAGTCCTTTTTTTTTTTTTTTTTTCCTGACAGAATTACATCCTCATGCAGATTGGCTTGTTGCATAACCTGATATTTCCAAATGAAAAGTTCTGAATAATGGGGGGTGGGGGGAAAGGTGATTAAGAATTTAAGGTACAGTTGGATGAGACAAGCAAGGGACTCAGTTTAAGACACTTGCTCACACTCTCTAAGTGTGTTAGAGGTTGAAGGAAAACGAAGCCTACTAAGCACATAGTATAGATCCTCACTGGGGACTTAGCTGCCTGTCTGATTCTAACAGAGAGGCACTAGCCTCTCCTGATGTTCCTGTCCCAGTACATGCTCCCACATCCATAAATACAGGTTTGATTCCAAGAGCCTAGCAGGGTAAATCCACGTCAATTTCAGATCTAAAGAGCTGAATTGTACCTGCCTTCTAACATGGTCTATCAGCCTGGCTTATTGTAACTGAAAACTAAATCACTCCATCTTTGCTTTGCGGTGAAAGACGCTATGGGGGCCACTTTGAAAGTCACACATGCCCCAGCTCCCAGGGAACCAAGCTTGCATGGATCCCTGAATTTATAGTTTTCCATAAGGAAGTCTGCTAATGAAACTGTAAATGTAGAGGCTTAGTCCTCTGTGGGTTATATATTTATTACTTTGTCAGGATTTTTTTCTAACTTTTATTGTCTTTATTCTAATTACCAAAGTAATATATGTTCACTGTAGCAAAGTAAGACAATGCAGAGAAAAGCAAAAAGAAAATGTTTCCCCACGTTCGGGGTTGTACCTTGTGACTTCTCTTTATGACTAGAAAAAATGAGATCATAGTTACAATATTTTCAGTGCTTATTTTCCTTTCTTGATAAATCTTTCCATGTTACGACTTTTTCCCCATTGCAACATTTTTAATGGGTACATAGAACCCCAACATTTTAATATGGCATAATTTAGTAGAACAGTACATAAATTTTGACTTGGTTTATTTTTAGTTTATTTTTATTTTAGGTTTTTTATTATTATCACAAAGCTGCAGTGATTATTCTTGTACACACTGGGCAATTTTAGCATTTCCTTGAGATAAATCCCCAGAAAGCAGGATTGCAGGGTCAGAGGCATATGCCATGGTGAGACTTCTGTCACACTTGAAAAGGAGTAGGGTCCCTTGTGATTTCTACTTCATCTTTTAAAGCAGAATATGGCTGCTTACTTTGCAATCTTTTGCAGGCATGAGGAACTAGGTAGGAGATGGAGGTAGGGGTGATAATCAGACCTCAAGCAGGGGATTTGCATAACTTTGAGCCTTTTTGCTCAACTGATAGGCAAATCATTTTTCCGAGAACATTTTCCTTCCCTGGCTGTCTTGGAATCCTCACTCTCTGTAACCCTTCAGCCAGCAATGGAGACAAAATATGTAGACACGTGTCTCTGTATTGCAGGTGAGGCTGGCTGCCTGGTGAATGGCAAACGTGCCTCAGAGAACTGAGTGTGTCTTTGCATTTGGATTCCCCTCTCCCTGCACCCCATTGTTGCTTCAGAGGCCTTAGAAAAGTTTGCAAAGGAAACCACCCCAAGGTAAACTTATCCTCCCTTTCCCAGCCCCACTGTCCACTGCATGGCATTTATTAGGACAAGCAGCCTAAAAGTCTCACTTTGTGATCCCTGGGCACAATTAAAAACAAACAGCAAAACCACCTACTTGCTGTTCCTAAAGTGGTAGTTGGTCTCTGCTCTTGTCCCACCCTTGTCTGGGCCAGTTCAGTCCCCAGGTGTGTTTGTCAGCCTTCCTTCGTCTTTCACGCATCAGGTTTCTGTGACCCAGAAAACGTTTGTTCCCTGTGGTGGAGGACTCGTCCTCTGACAAAGTATTATGTGGAGCTAGTGGGGGAAGTCCAGTCCTCCCATTTCCAAGTTGTCCCCAGGCTCCGCAGGAGACATCAGGAGTTCCTTTAGATCCGATGGAGAGGTCTGATGGCGTGGTCTCCATAAAGGAAACCTGCTTTGCTGGTCGCAGACTCTGACTTCTGACAAGTGTTTAGATGCTGCCTTGATACTGACACATTCCACTTTCACTTGGGGGAGGTGAGGGAGTATTTTTGTCCTTTGCCACATCCCAAACATCAAATCAGGGCTTTTCTTTCATTTGTGAAACAAAAAGGACACAGGACATCGATGTAGCAGGATCTCAAGAGCAAGTATGCTCTGCCCCCTCCTCCCTGTCCCCTGAGCCCTGCATTTGCTTTGCCAAGATGGTAAATGTGGCCTGGACCTCCAGTGAGGAAAGGGTGTAAGAGGCAACTAATTAATCATGATGAGGATCAAGAACCTTAGGTTTTAAGAATGTTTGTCTCACAGAAGACCTCATTTTCTTGCTGTGGAATGATTGTTGATTTCTAAAAGTCTGATCTTTGAACTCTTTGAAAGTCAAACCAGAGAGATGGAGTCCACCCCTATGGCTTCAGTGAGACACTTGCCAATTCCTGAAATTAGTTTCCCTCTCTAGAAAAGTAGGTTGGGAGATGAGAGTAGATTTGATGTTTTATAATTCGTGCTTCTCAAACTTTAACCCACGTTACCTGAGAATCTTGTTAAACGCAGGTTCTAATTCAGTAGGTCTAGAGTAGGTCTGAAGATCCTTAGGACCCAAGAATCTGCATTTCTGACCAACTGCCAGCGGGTACTTTGCTGCTGGTCCATGGCCCAGCTTGGAAAAGCAAGATCTCGAGCTACTTCCTACTCTGACCTTATTACAGAAAGTAATAGTGACTGCTAGACATCAGGAGGAGCTGTCTTGTAGTCTGGTGTTGTAAACGACGTGTCTGTTCTTGCCTTTTGAGTTTTGAGAACTGGCATCTTCATTTTCTCAGACAGGCTGGGGAGGGACTTTGTCAACCCTCTCATCCTGTGCTTGTCCAGGAAGTAGATGAATGGGGCAGAAAGAAAACAAACAGTGCCTTCTATAAGTCAGGTAGCTGCTGTTATCACCATGTTCTCTATGGGGAAACAAGATCAATAAGGCGAGCCATCTGTCCAGGACACACACCAAGGCCCAGCATTTGACTGTACACCTCTCTGACCCCCAGACCTTATTTTTCTTAGAATGGCAACTTTGTAGCTTTCTAGAATGCCAGGTAATTAAACCTGAGTGCTTATTAGCAAAGTGTTTCCCTTTAGAGGTGCTTTTACTGGGCCTACTTTAAGAGTGGATCCAGACATTTCAAAATTTGCATCATTGTCAGGCAAGCAATTAAAGTGCTTAAGAGCTTAAAAGCAATTTGTTCAAGTTGGTTAAATATCCACCCTCCCCAATCTTGTTTGTATTATTAATTTACTCATCAAACTGTGACATCAAAACCATTGCAAAGGTAAATTTCAGTATCTTCGGATTGGTGGAACCTTTCAAACAAAAGGACTTGGCATTGATGAGATCCAGGGTGGAAGGATCTGGTGCAGGGTGAGTCAGAGAAATCAGCCTTTTACTAAATAAACCCAGCCCTGCTTTGGCCTCTGGATGAGTATTGGTTGTTGAAACGTTTTATTAATGTGCAATTATTCTGAGAACCAGTCAGCAACGCAGCTCTTTGCAAACATTCATTAGCTGATCTTTACATCACCCCCAGATGGCAGATAAATAGCATTAACCCTGCATCTGAGAGAACAAATGGACACCCAGCAATGCGGGTAGAAGA